CCCAGGGGGATAGCTTGAGGCTCTGTCTCAAAAAAAAAAAAAAAAGAAAATGAAGATATTTTTTAATTAGTACTATCTTACTTCAACTCTAACTCTGCTGAGGTGGTTGTTATGTGAGTGCAGTTTGGGTTAATTTGAGATGGTTTTGTAGCAGTACTTTTGAACATAGTTTGGTCTTAAAAGATGGCAGAAACAAGGATTAGTAGAAAAAAGGTTGTGGTAAAAGGATATGTTTATGAACTTGAAACATTTTCCTTAAGAGGAGTAGACTAAAACAAATCCTTAGTCTGGGTAGGTAATAAATCCTGGGTGCTCATTAATGGATTTATGTATTTCCCTTGCTAGAGATTATTGAAGATTTGGAAGTTAGATTTTACTTGAATCATAGGTGTTTCTGTAGTCTAAGAAGAAGTAGACTAGAATGCTGATAAAGGAAGATGGTTTTTACTGTGAACTTATATGAGCTGCAGAGAGGAGAAGCTGAGATCTGGTTGCTTACCAAAAAAAAAAAAAAAAAAACCCCACAAAACAAACAAAAAACATGGGGTGGTGAATAGGGGGTGGAGATAGGGTTTAGAGCAGCAGTTCTCAACCTGTGCATCGTGACCCCTTTGGGGGTTGAACCACCCTTTCCCCTTTCACAGGGGTTGCCTAAGACCATCGGAAAACACCTGTTTCCGATGGTCTTAGGAACCGAGACACCGCTTCTCTTGTGGGGGTCACCACAACATGAGGAACTGTATTAAAGGGTCGCAGCATTAGGAAGGTTGAGAACCACTGGTTTGGAGAGAGGTTCGAGCCTTTTCATGCCTCTGCCTTTCTTGTCATCCCTCACCTCTTGTTCCATGTGATCACCTAGACGTCTTTGAAGATGAGAAACCACCAAAGAAGAGCCTTCTCTCCAAAGTTTCACAAGGAAAGAGGAAGAGAGGCCGCAGCGATCCTGCGGGCTCAGCAGGTGGTCCTACAAAAAAGAAAGTGGCCAAGGTGATGGTTAAATCTGAAAACCGCGAGGTTAGAAAGGATGAAGCCCTCAGCGATGGGGACGATTTCAGGTGAGACAGCTGAAACACTCTGGACCAGATCTTGATTGTTCCTAACACAGATGTGTGAATAAAAAAACCCACTCTTCTTGCTTATGAAGGGGGTCCATGGGAAAGACTGGATCTTTAAGCTCTTCTAGATAAGTCAGACCAGTAAGAGCTGGAAATTTTTCATAGGAGAAGAATAACAGCTTGCAGAAAGTGAATTACACATGTCTGTCACATGGTAACACAGCTAGACAGTGATAAAACCAGGAGAACTCAGGCCTTCTGACTCCTGGCCCAGTGCCGCCTTCTCCTATGTAAGGATGTTAGATAAATGCAAAATGTTTGTCTGTTTTAATCTCGTGCTACTCACCTCAGGCACGCTCTACTTCTGCCCAGCCAGACCTCTTATCATTTACCCCACACATTTTCATGCTTTGCTGCAACTGAGTTGTGTTCAACATCTTCCATCTACCTGGAATGCTTGCTTGCTTCCGTCTTGAAGCTGCAGATCAGAAGCCACACACTCCACAGAATCTTCTTCAATTCTTCCCCCTTTCCTCCTCTGATTTCCTATAGCATTTTCAGACATGGAATACATGTCTGCCAGGTGTTCCATTTATTTGTGACCATGCCACATGCCCCTCTGTAAACTTTCAGAGGGCTTACCACTCTGTAAACTTTCAGAGGGCTGGAATCATGCGTGGTTCTCTTTTGTAAGCCCTATGACATCTACAGTAGGGCCTTTTATTTGGTAGAAACTGAACAAGTATTTTTTCAATGAGTGAACATTCACATTAATATGTTGTGAACAATAAACGTGAGCCTAGTGAACCCTCGGTTACCTGTCTTCTAAGAAAGTTGAGGGGTTGGGGAGAAGGGGAAGAACAGAGGGGCACTAGTTCCTTCTTTGCTTCTAAAAACAGATCTCCTTAAGTGTGGGCTTCAGGGAAAACCCACTCTCTCCTGAGAGTTGACTGTGGTCATTTCTGCTATGCAAAAAAGCTCAGTACTCTAGACACATCATATGGATTTGCAGAAATATATATTAGGAACCATTTAGTCTTTTAAATCTTTTTTAGATTTTCTTAATTAACATTTTTTAATTGACACAATAATTGTACATATTTGTGAAGTACATAATGATGTTGCAATACATGTAACGTGTAGTGATCAGATCAGGCTAATTACATATCCATTGTCTCAAACATTTATTATTTCTTTGTGGTGAACCATTTAGTCTTGAGCTATTGTTGACCTGCCTACCTGTCTATGTAGTTATCTACTTAGCTAGCCATCCATGTTTCTGCTTTTTGACACACCTATGTATTGTCACATCCCACTTGAAATTAGAATTCTACTAACTCTCCTTACATTGTATTTATTAAAGGTGGGGAAAAAATCTGAGTTGGCTCATAGTAGGATCAACAAATGTGAATTCCCTTTGCTTTTTTCTGGCCTCCGGCTGTACGTGTATACACACAGATATCCCAGCTCCTACTTCCAGAGCTCACATTATTATTTGGTTTCTTCTAAGTTTTCCCTTGCTATCTCTGGGTGCAATTTTGTTTTTTTTCACACATCTCTAGGTTCTAGGGTTTTTTGACAGCACATCTAGTATTAATCAGACCAACAATCAAAGCATGTCTTGATGAGTTTTTGAGACCGTTGTTGATGAAGGAAATGAGGCCCAGAGCTCAATAATAATCTTTTGGTAATTGCAGCAGATTCACAGTGAAGAGAAGGAGGAGTCTTTTTAATTCCCTTTAGCTTGAATATAACACTAGGATGTCTGTACCTTCTTCATCTTCCTGTGATCTTTGCACAGGGACTTTCCAAGTAAACTCAAGAAGACACAGCATCCAAAGAGAGGGGCTCCTGTGGACAAAGGCAGCCACAAAGGAGAGGATGAGGAAGAAAGTGAAGACGACTGGGAAGAGGTCGAAGGTGAAACATCTTTGTTTTCAGAATTACTTGTTTGATTCTGTTTGGACTCTTAAGTCACTTATTGCAATCCTTTTCTTTTTTTTTTTTTAAACTGTGGATTATTTACACCTTTTTTTTAAAGAGATGGGTCTTGCTCTGTTGCACAGGCTGGAGTGCAGTGGCAGGATCATAGCTTGCTACAGCCTCAAACTCCTGGGCTCAAGTGATCCTTTCACCTCCTCCTCCTAAGGAGCTGGGACTACAGGTGTTTGCTATCACACCTGGCTATTTTTTTTTTTTTTTTCAGTTTTTGTCTGGGGCTGGGTTCGAACCCTCCACCTCTGGCATATGGGGCTGTCGCCCTACCCCTTTGAACCATAGGTACCACCCCCTTTATTTTTTTTAAGAGATGTCTGGCCAAGTTTCTTAGGTTAGTGTTGACCTTAAGTGAACCTCCTGCCTCAGCCTCTTGAGTCATTATTATTGTTTTCTTTTGAAACGAATAAGATCAAAGATAAGATTTTGTTAAAGACTTGCTTTGATGAAAGAAAAAATTCATGACCAGGTTACTGAAGAAGGTTGTTTATTCTCTTCCTTTGCTGACTGTCAATGGAGTAAATATAAAGAGGCAGCATCATTTAGGGGAAAGAGCACAGGCTTTGAAAGTGGTTAGACCTGGGTTCAGAGTCCCGCTGTGCCACTTACATAGTTGTAAGAACAGTTTAACCTTGAGCAAATAACTTCACTTCTCTGAATTGAGTTTGTTCATTGGTAATGTTCTGTAAACACTGAGGACTTACTATGAGCCACACAAGGTAGGCTCATAGGAGTGAGAATTGCCCTGGGGGAGAAAAGTTTGCAGATGTCATGGGCCTGATTTATCATGCACTCACAATAATTAGTAGCTAATGATACCATCCCTGATTCCTTCTGCCTAGTTTTCTTTTTCTCCAGTTTATTTTGAAAATGTTCAAACCTCCAAAAAAAAAAAAAAAAAAAATTGAAAATGTCACATATACACTCTTCACCTAGATTCATTAACTTTAATACTTTGCCACATTAAATATATGCTTCTCTGTAAATATGCATTGTGGAACCTTTTGAAAATAAGTTGCAGACATCCTGGTACTTCACCACTAAATAATTTGGCATGTGTGTACTTCCTGAGAATTAGACATTCTCCTACATGACAAGATGACCTTATCACACCCATGAAAATGAAAAATAAGTCCCCAGTTGTTATGAAAATACCCTTTATAACTATTTTTTATTGTTTTTCCTTTTTCCAATCCAGGATCTAAACAAGATGTCAGCCTTGGTTGTTATGATTTCTTTAGTTTCTTCTAATCTAGAGCAGTGCCCCTCACCCACCACCTTTTTGGCTTTTTATAACACTTTTTTGAAGGGCTTTAGAGCCTTGCTTTGTGGAATATCTCATGTTCTGATTTCGTCTGATAAACAATCAGACATTTCATGGTGTTGTGAAACTTGTTTTAGTAGCTTATATATTTCTTGTAAACTAAGTTAACTCCAAAGAGTCGATGGAATTTAGATTAAGTTTTTTTGGGGGGGGGGGCAAAAATACTTCATAGGTAGTACTTCATACTTTATGTCGCATCCATTAAGAAGCCACTGCTGTCAGGCTGTCTCTGTACTAGTGATGCTTAGCTAACATACGTGACCCTGTCATTTTGACATGGCCTCTTTAGTTTTTGAGAACATTTTTGTTTTCTGGCACAAGATGTTCCAGGCTTACCTTATACGTTCTTGCTCTGGACATGAAACCAGCCTCTTTTTCTCCAAAAAGTCCCAGCTCATTTTAGTAGGGACTGTTAAATAGAAACCAAGGTACTGGTATTAGTTGTGTTCATTGCCAGTAACGTTTCATGGCTTCTAGGCTCAGAGCATCTTTAAAAGAACTTTTTTTTTTTTTTATTGTTGGGGATTCATTGAGGGTACAAAGAACAAGGTTACACTGATTGCATTTGTTAGGTAAAGTCTCTCTTATAATTGTGACCCATCCCCAAGAGAACTTTTCTAAAGAATTTCTAAATTAGATCCAGTGCAGCAAGTTCATTTCATTCCAGCTGGTGTTTATAAGGAACATGGGGGTAAAGAGGTGAAAAGGGTGCATTCCTCATCACTTACAAGTTTATACTTATGAGTGAAAGACAGACATGTAAATCATGATTGTACACAAAGCAGATTGTGGTAAGTGTGTTGTAATAGTACAGAAAATAGGGATGGTTCCTTGGCTTTTTCTTTCTTTCTTTTTTTTTTTTTTTTTTGAGACAGAGCCTCAAGCTGTCCCCCTGGGTAGAGTGCCATGGCATCTCAGCTCACAGCAACCTCCAACTCCTGGGCTCAAGCGAGTCTCCTGCCTCAGCCTCCCAAGTAGCTGGGACCACAGGTGCCTGCCACAACGCCCAGCTATTTTTTAGTTGCAGCCGTCATTTTTGTTCGGGGGGCCTGGGCTGGATTCGAACCTTAGGTGTATGTGGCTGGCGCCTTAGCCACTTGAGCCACAGGCACCGAGCCCTTTCTTTTTTTTTTTTTTTTTAAAGAATAAGTATCTGCTGAAACATACATACATGAATGTCAGCTCTTTGATAGCAGGGGTCAACCCAGTATCTCTGTGCTTCAGTTTCCTCATCTAAAGACTACTTCTCTGGGACGTTGTGTGCGTTACTTAAAACAGGTAATTGTGACACACTTAGCATAGTGCCTGGCACATTATAGGAACTCAGAGCACGGTGTGGGTGGTGATCTCTACAGGTTGTCCATCTCACATCCATTCCTCACTTCCATCTTTCCAGCAGAACTTTGATTTTGTTCAGTATAATGGCCATTATTACTGTTACTGATTTTTAAAAATTATTGTTTATAGAACTTAGTGAGCCTATGCCAGGTGATGTGGGAGAAAATTCAACCTTCTCTCAGTCTCTTCTGCCTGTGAAGCCAGTGGAGATAGAGATTGAAACGCCAGAGCAGGCGAGAACAAGAGAAAGAAGGTAAGATTGGCCCCTGCTTCTAGGCTTCTTTTACATGTAGCAGGCAACAGCTGCTACTTAATGAAAACTTTTGAGAAAATGTAGGGGACCAGGGCTGAGTATCAAAGTGGTCAGGAGCTGCAAGTGAGTCCTGGATTCACCTTTGCAGAACCTTTGTGTCCTGGCTGGGGCCGGAGATTAGGAGCAGGAACTTCTGTGTGCCAAGGCCTGAACAGCTCATCCACCTTACCTAATCCTTAGAACAGTATTCCAAACGAGGAGCCAGAGGCTCAGAGAGGCTAAGTAACATTTCAAGGGTCACTCAGCCAGTCAGTGGAAGAGTCGAGATCTGAATGTCTCTCGTCTGCCTCAGCACTCCTGCTTTACCCCCACATCACACTGCAGGACTTTAGGCAGTGTGTGGTAGTGCGTCCCCACCCGTCCTGGGATTCCCAGTACCTCTGCAGCCCCTGCTGGCTTGGGAATGTGGAGCACAGTGCCTGCTAGTTCATTGCTTAGTGAATTCAGTGTGTGATGGACATGTCGTTAGGTACAGAGGAGGAGATGGTAGAAGTCATTCAAGGAGTGTCACGTTTCCTTAAAGATTCATGGCACACAGACATGAAAGATTTTACGCTACTGCAGTGTCACCTAAGTGTGCATTAATCAAACATAAGGTAATCATTGCTAAGAAGCAGGTCAGTAGTCAGAGGGGTCAGACAGAGAAGACTTCCTGGGTGAAGTGAGCTTTGAGGCCTGTTTGTGAGGCGTGATTTGGTGCTGGTTGGTAGTCTGGGTTGAGAATGTCCCAAGCTAAGGTTTGCAGATGAGAAGGAACAGAAAACTATGCAGAAAGAAGGAAGGGGCAGGTGTGGAAGGAAGGCTGAAAACTAGCAGGGATTTGTTTGAGTAGGACGATTGAGTGTAGGAAAATGGGGAGAGTGCTTCACACATCATACAGGTGGAACAAAGGGGCCGTGGGGCTGGTTTTGGTTTTCCACTTCATTCGCAGATTTTTCACTATGCTTTGCAGTGAAAAGATAAAAATGGAGTTTGAGATGCATCTTCGGAGGGTGATGAAACGTTTCAACAAAGAAGTCCATGAGGACACGCACAAGGTAAGGGCGAGAAGTGATGGGAAAAGACAGTATTGCTCTGCGGTGGAAAGAACTTGGGTTCTCCGTCAGCCAGACTTAGGCTTTATTTCTGGCTTTGCTGCTCACTGTGTGGCCATGGCAAGTTCCTTATTCTCTCTCACCCTTAGTTTCTTCATTTATGAAGTGAACATGATAATTGTATCCATCTTGGAGGTTGGTTGTGAGGATTAAGCAAATATGACATGTCAGGTAACTTGTATCACAATTCCTGGTATGTGGCAGGGGCTAGATGACAGGTACTCACCTTCCATCTCTTCTTTCAGCCACTTAATAACATTAATTCCAATCTTGACTAATGTCACTGTAGCCTTTGACGTTAGCTGGTAGTTATTGTCCTAGCAGGGTCCTTGGCATTGTGGGGATAGACTGATCTCACAGATGGAACAAGAAGGACTTTAAAGTAAAGAAACTCTGGACTGTGTGTAGAATAATGAAAGAGATTAGCGTGGGTCTGTGTAGCTGTGGAAAGCTTTATTCAGGAGAAAAGACTGGAGCGGATCTAGGAGAAGGGGGCGTAGTGTGGGAAGACTGCTCTATTGAATCATGGAGGGGATGGTGGGATACCCGCTTGCCTGCGTGTGTGGAGCCTGGATGTGTTGGAGAACTGGGGGGCAGGTGAGGAGAGGGAGGGTTTGATTTCCCTCTGCTGGGCAGTGGGCCGTTGGAGAGGGTATGGAGGGGATGGATGGAAGAGGATCTAGAGATGGGAGAATAGTGATGAGCTCAGCAGGGATGCCCACCGCGTGGAAGCAGGGCAGGGGGTCGGCATGAAGTGAAACGAAGTAGCTTAGAGAGGAGAGAAAGAGAAGAGTCAAGGTGACTGTAAGGTTTGAAGCTTGAGTGAGGGGAGAGAAGCGGCACCACTGATTAAATAGGAAGACCTTTAGTGGGGGAGATGGGAGCCAGTTTTGAAGAGAAAATGACACGAAGCTGCGTGAGAAAGAAAATAGTTATCTTAGTAGGTTGACGAGCAGTGGGGAGGTCGGAAGTGGGGCAGACGTGGGGTCTGCAGCACGGAAGATTGGGCTCAGACACACAGAGCAGTGGTGAGAGTGGTGAGCCCCCCAACACCAGCTTCTGCGGGCTCGCGAGCAGCCTTGCTCAGCTTTCCCTTACTCACTTTTCCCCCTAGTCTGGTTGGAGCAAATGCCCTCGTCCAGAAATGCATCCACATGCATCTCTAAAAGTCGAGACCTCTTGAAAAAATAAGTGTATTTTGAAGGCTTGAGGTATGATGATTTCTTTGAGGGAATAAGTATATAGAGAGAAGTGGAGGGTTAAAGATAATCTTGGGACATGGCTAATGCTAGTATTTTTACCTTATTGTGAGTTGAACTGGCAGCAAGTATTTCTTGCCCACAGGATACCTTGAATTCGGCAGTTGCAGTGCCCTGCTAGTTTTCATTGCCCTTCCAGGCCTGCTCAGTCCTCCTTTGCCCTTCACAGGTTCACCTTCTGTGCCTGCTAGCAAATGGCTTCTATCGAAACAGCATCTGCAGCCAGCCAGATCTGCGTGCCATCGGCCTTTCTATCATTCCAACACGCTTTACCAAAGTGTTGCCTCGAGACGTGGACAGCTACTACCTCTCAAACCTGGTGAAGTGGTAAGGCCACCCGCCCATACTGCAGAGTGAGGGTGGCATTTGTGTTTTTCAGGTTGGGGTCAGGTCAGTTCTTCAGCCCTTCCCTGAGGTGGTAACTGTGTACATGGGGGAGGGCATGGCATTGAAGGTGGGGAAATGCCAGGCGCGCTCCTGCCCTTGGGGGCACTGATCTGAGCTGGGTGTGATGGGAATGTTTCCCCCAGGAGATGAAGTCTGAGTTGGGTTATCAGTGATGCTAGGAATCAGCCAGACAGGGTGGGAAGGGTAGGACAGAGGCAGGGGAATCTTAACAGTTCACTCCTCCTTTTGAGTTTTTTGGGCTATAAAACAAAAATTCCCCTTTGCCCTGATGCAAGGAATGTGTGGTTTTTCCCCAGGTTCATTGGAACATTTACAGTTAATTCAGACCTTTCAGTCAGCGATCAAGATAGCCTGCAGACTGTGTTGGAGAGGAGATTTGGTATTTACTCTGCACGAAATGAGGAGGAATTGGTCCATGTAAGTGACGCTTCCAGGAGCACTATTCTGTTAGTACTGTTACCTAATTAGTGATGATGGACTCAGGTGCCATACAGCTTTCCAGGTGTTTTCCATATTTAGTCTTCACGATAACCTTGGTAGGTACTGAAGCTCATGGTAACTAAACACTGCCCCTAGGGTCGCTCAGTTGGTGAGCAGTGGAATCAAGGCTGGTTCCAGAGTGTGACTCTGATGTATAAAAGAAATCATACACCATGTGGTCTTTCATGTCTGACTTTCACTTAGCATAATGCTTCCAAGGTTCATCTGCATGGTATCATGTATCACTATTTCATTGTTTTTTATGGCTGAATAATATTTATTATACAAGGTCTGACAGTTAAGTTCTTGAACTCAACCTAGAAGAAGTGCTACATCATTGCTGAATATCACACAGTCACCTTCAGAGTACTCCCCTTGGGAAGTTAGGCACTGACAGCAGAGCCTACTACACACATCCTTCAGAGGAATTTTGGAATTCTTTTTCTGGAATGGCATCAGAGCTGTCGATGTATTACCCTTAATATCCTGAATGTCATCAGAATGCCTTCTTTTCAATACTTCCTTTATCTTTGGGTAAAGAAATAAGTCACTGGGGGTCAGATCAGGTGAGTAGGGAGGGTGTTCCAGTACAGTCATTTGTTTACTGGCTGAAAACCCCTCATGGAAAGTACTGTGTGTGTTGGTGTATTGTTGTGATGTAGGAGTCACATCTTTCTCATGCCAAGATTTTCCTGTTTCCTTATTAATGTGTACTTGGTCTGCTTCTCACAGTCAGCCTGTGAAGTTGATGCACAATTTGATAAATTTTTGCAATGTTTTTGTCAGTTCTACTCGTAACTGGCTGTTCTCACCTCTCTTCATCAGTGATGGTTTCTCTCCCCTCAGAAAAAGTTTATTCCATTTGTGTACTGCTGTTTTATTCATGGCATTATCCCCATAAATTTGGGTTAACATGTCCCTGATTTCATTTCCACTCTTGCCACAATTAGCAAGAAATTTAGTGTTTGTTCATTGCTCTAATTGAAGCACCAACATTCTTGTGACAGCTCAGAAAAACACACAGCAGCAATAATGAATGCTGCTCAGCAAAACACCACCACACCTTGACATGAACACAGCTGTGAGACACTGATACCAACCTTATAAAACCTTACTGACCTGCTCATACACTGCTCCTAATATAAGTACATGGTGGCAAGTTCTTGAACTTAATTGTCAGACCTCTCATTTGTATCCTACCATGTTTTCTTTATTATTATTATTTATTGTTTAGGATTCATTGAGGGCACAAGGAATTAGGTTACACTGATGGAATTTGTTAGATAAAGTCCCTCTTATAATTATGTTCCGCCCCCAAGAGGTTTGCCATACACTGTGATTCCCCATCCCCCTTCCTCCTCCCCTCTCCCCACTTGCTCATTCCCCTACCCCACCCCTTGTATTAGTTTATCTGCTGCCTTCATATTAGAATTGAATACAGTGGATTCTTGCTTCTTCATTCTTGTGATGCTTTACTAAGAAGAATAAATTCCACCTCCATCCAAATTAATACGAAAGAGGTAAAGTCTCCATTTTTTTTAATGGCTGAATAGTATTCCTTGGTGTACATATACCACAGCTTATTAATCCATTCCTGGATTGGTGGCCATTTAGGTTGTTTGCATATTTTGGTGATTGTAAATTGAGCTGCTATAGACAGTCTAGTGCACATCTCCTTATGATAAAAGGAATTTTTGTCTTCTGGGTAGATGCCTAGTAATGGAATTGCAGGATCAAATGGGAGGCCTCGTTTGAGTTCTTTGAGGATTCTCCATAATTCCTTCCAAAAAGGTTGTATTTGTTTGTAGTCTCACCAGCAGTGTAAAAGTGTTCCCTTTTCTCCACATCCACACCAGCATCTGCAGTTTTGAGACTGTGATTTGGGCCATTCTCAGTGGGGTTAGGTGATATCTTAGAGTTTCTCAGCCTATCCCAAGAGTGGAGTTCTGATCCTGGCAGGCAGAATTAAGATGGCCATGCTTTAGGCCCCTGCTAAGTAAGACCTTCTCATTACCTTTCCACAAGGGCAGCCCCCTGGTTGCTGAGACCTTCCCAGTATGGCTGCCCTGCCAACCACCAAACCTATAGCAAGTCCACTCCAACTGGCATTCAGATCTGGTTGTTGTATAGTGTTCGAGTCTACCCACTCCTCCAAGCTTTCCCAGTCAACGCGCAACTTCCCCCGACAACTGAAAACTCTGGAAAGGCTTCTTCCTCTCCTGGACCTCCTTGGGGGTGGGAGGGCAGCCGATCCTGGTCAGTGGCAGTCACTTGCCTAATGAACCAGATTTCCACCTTTCTGGATCATGTGCTGTATCCAGTTCACCACCTCCTTACTTTTCCTCCCTGAACTATACTCCAGGTAAGGTCCCTGAGCCAGGTATGGCTGGGTTCTCTCTTTTTCCCCAGTCTTACTAGGAGAGCTCAGCTGAACGATCCTTCTGGTTTTCCTCCGCCCCCCTACCATGTTTTCTTAATGCTTCATCAATTGGTGGGCAGTTAGGTTAAGTACCTTTTCTCACTTCTTTGAATCTATCTGTCTATCTATCTATCTATCTATCTATCTATATCTAGGATTGAGGTTACTTTTTTGAGAAACCACCAAACTGTTTTTCACAGCTACTACACCATTTTTTATTGCCACCAGCAGTGAAAAAGGATTTCAGTTCCTCCAAATTCTAGCCAACACTTATTTTCTAATCTTTTTGAATATAGCCATTTTAATGGATGTCAAGTGGTGGTACCTCATCCTGGTTTTGATTTGTATTTTCCCAGTGACTAATGATGATGAGTGTCTTTTCATGTGCTTATTGACCGCCTGTGTATCTCTTTTGAAGGAATAGTATATTCAAATCTTTGCCCATTTTTAAATTAGGCTGTCTTTTTGTTGATGAATTGTAAGAGCTCCTTATATCTTCTGGATATTAGTCACCTATGAGATATGTGCTTTGCTGTAGGTTGTCTTTTTACTTTCTTGATAGAATCCTTTGATACACAAAATTTTAATTTTGACAAAGTACAAGTTACGTATTTTTCTTTTGTTCTTTGTGCTTTTTTGGTTTTGTATCTAAGAATCTGTTGCCAAATTCAGGGTTGTAAAGGTCATCCCCTGTGTTTTTTCCTAAAGATTTTATATTTCTAACTCTTTTATTTATGTCTTTCATCCACTGTGAATTAATATTTGTATTTGAGATGAGGTAGATTTTGAACTTAATTCTTAGGCTTGTAAATACCAGTTGTCCCAGCCCTGTTTATTGCTTGTTTTATTATTTTCACTATTTGTTGAAGGGACTCTCTTTTCAGTAGGGGTTGAATGGTCTTGGTGCTCTTGCAGAAAATCAACTGGCTATAAGTATATGGGTTAGCCTCTGGCTTCTTAGTTTTATTCCATTGGTTTACATGTTTCTTCTCCCTTTTTCTTAATTTATGTTTTATTATTTTGTTAAATTTTATGAGAATTTGCATTTCCATATATGACTATTCTTATGCCAGTACAGCGCTGTTTTGATTACTGTGGCTTTTTGAAATCAGGAACTGTCAGTAACTTTGTTTTTCATTTATAATACTGCTTTGGCTATTCGAGGACCCTCGAAATCCTAGTGAATATTTTTTTTTTCTTTTGAAAGAAGGTCTCATGCTGATACCCTAGCTAGATTGCAGTGACAACATTATAGCCCATTGCAGCCTCAAACTCCTGGGCTTAAGGGATCCTCCTGCCTCAGTCTCCCAGGTAACTGGGACTATAGGTGCCTGACATGATGCCTGGCTAATTTTTGTGTTTTTTGTAGGGACAGGGTCTTGCTCTTGCTCAGGCTTGCCTTGAACTCCTGACCCCAAGTGATCTTCCTGCCTTGGCCTCCTGAAGTGCTAGGATTACAAGTGTGAGCCACTGTACTCTGACCCCAAGTGAAAATGAATGTGATGGTCTGCTTTTTCATTTCTTCAGAAAAGAAGTTTTTTTTTTTTTTTTTAGACAGAGTCTTACTGTGTCGCCCTTGGTAGAGTGTCATGATGTCACAGCTCACAGCAACCTCAAACTCTTGGGCTTAAGCAATTCTCTTGCCTCAGCCTCCCAAGTAGCTGGGATTACAGGTGCCTCCCCACAATGCTTGACTATTTTTGTTGTTGTTGTTGCAGTTTTCATTGTTATTTAGCTGGCCCGGGGCCGGTTCGAACTGCCAGCCTCAGTGCATGTGGCCGGTGCCTTAACCACTGTGCTATAGGTGCCGAGCCAGAAAAGAAGTTTTGATGGGGATTGTATTGACTCTGTGGATTGATTTGGGTAGTATTGGCATCTGGATAATAGTAAGTCTTCCAGCCTACAAACCTAGGTGTCTTTCCTTGTATCGTAATTTCTTTCAGCTCTTGGGTTTTGTACTTTTCTGTTCACATGTCTTTCACCTTCTTGGTTAAGTTTTTTCGTAGATACTTTATTCTTTTTGATGCTATTGTTAACAGTATTGTTTTCCTTTGTAGATTGTTCAAAGTGTGCAGAAGCACAGCTGATTTTTGTGTTTCTCTTGAACCCTGCAACTTTGCTGAATTCGTTTATTGCCTCTACTAACTTTCTTCTGCATTCTTGGGATTTTCTACATTTAGGATCATGGCATCTGTGAAAAGAGATAGTTTCACGTTTTCCTTTCTCTTGTGCATGCCTTTTGTTTCTTTCTCTTGTCTGATTGCTCTGGCTAGGACTTTTAAGTACAGTATTGAACAGCAGTGGTGAAAGGAGGTGTCCTCACCTTGTTTTTGGTGAGGAGAAATTTTTTGTGCTTGCTGTGGGTTTTCATGAATACTCTGATCATGTTGAGGAAGTTCCCTTATAGTCTCAGTTTTTGGGGTGTTTTTATCGTGAACGCAAGTTGGATTTTGTCATATGCTTTTTCTATGTCAATTAAAATGATCCTGGGGGGTTGTTGCTCTTTTTTCCTTCATTCTTATGATGTGTTATTTTGCTTTGATTGATTTTCTTTTGTTGAATCACCCTTACATTCCTGGGGCAAGTCCCACTTGGTCATCTTGTATAACTCTTTTAATATGTTGTTGAATTTAGTTTTCAGGATTTTGTTGAGGACTTCTGCATCTATATTCATAAGGGAAATTGGTTTGTCGTCGTTTGTGATGTCTTTATCTGGCTTTGGTATCAGGATAATGCTGACCTCATAGAATGAATGAGAAAGTGTTCTCCTTTCTGTTGCTTGGAAGCGTTTGAGAATGATTGGGTGAACCCTTAAAATGTTTGGTAGTATTGCCAGTGAAGGTATCTGGTTCTGGACTTTTCTTTGTTGGGAGATTTGTGATTTCTGATTTGATCTGTTGTTACAGGTCTGTTCAGATTTTCTATTTCTTGACTTAGTTTGGTAATTTCCATTTGTTCCATTTCATCCAGGTTTCCTAATTTGTTGGTATAGGGATCATAGGATTGTATAGTTTTATAACCTGACTTTTTTGTCTCAGCAACATACATCAATAGATATATACTTGTTGTATAGTTGACTATTTAAGCCAGGAGAAAAGAAATAAACTTGCCACATGCCTGAGAGAGCTGTGGACCCCTTTATTTAAATATACAAAAATATATATATATTTGTTAAAGGTAGTAGTTGTCTTATTAAAGGTAGTGATCGTGTATCTTGGGGGTCAGAGGTCCCAGTTCTCTGAGCCCAGTTGATCTGGTTTGATTGCTCAGCTGAGCTAGAAAGTTCAACCGAGGCACAGCACAGGAGTAATTGAAAGTAAAAATGAGTGGAAACTGAAAATTAAACTAGAGCAGCACAGGTGGTGTAAAGAGAGAGCAAAGTAACCTGCATAAGTTTCAGTGTAACAAAGAGAGATTTTGTTTAAGAAGAACAAAGAGAAATTTAGAGTACTTCCAAAGAGAGTTGGAAGTGGGTCCCTCTCTTAGAGGAAAAAAGGTGAGAGATGAAGGCCTGAAGGGGTATTAAATACTCTATCCATTTGAAATTGGCTGCAAGTCTTTCCCTGGCCTCTCTGGGCCTGGAGACAGTATTCCTCTTTCCTATTGGTCATTGGTTACCTAGGTTACTTCATACCCACATTCTTAAGGGCCCTCCAGACTTCCTAGTTCAGCAGGCCAGGTTTTCTTCCCACCCCCTTAAAAAGCCCCCTTCTTAGTGTCCTTCTCAATGTATGTTTGGGTAGCAGTAGACTATTTCAAGTACCACCACCTACATGATCTTATATAATCTTCTTTATAGTTCTGTGAGGAAGACAACACAGGGATTATTTCATATGTTGAAATAAAGATGAAGAAGTCTAGGTTTAGAGAAATCATTTAGCTAGTGATAAATACTCACTTATCCAGCTTTTGGACTTGTGCTCCTGTGCCAGGCTGTACACCAAAAAACTAAGAAATTAATACTGGTATAATATTATCAGCTTAACTACAGACATATTTGGATTTTCCATGTTTTTCCACTAATGTCCTTTTTCTGTTCCAGGATCAACCCAGGACATACCGATGATATTTAGTTGCAATATGTCCTTAGTCTCCTGCAATGTGTCAGAGTTTCTTGGTTGTTCCTTGTCTTTCATGACTTTGACATTTTTCAGGTTTTTAACCCCAGAAGAAACAAACAAAGCAAAAGTAATTATTTTCTTACCACAACATGGCTTCTTATAGAAAATCTGCCTTCCGGCTTGGCGCCTGTGGCTCAAGTGGCTAAGGTGCCTGCCACATACA